CATTGCCCAACGAAGACACTGTCAGCGCATGGTGCTATCTGAACAGCCTGACCAGCCAGACGTACCTGCCTTGCACAGAGAGAAGTCTTTGAAGCTTTTCATTGAAGTGCGTGCCAGTTAGAGCTTGCTGCAAGGGNNTGACCGTCCAACTTCTAACGCTCCCTGATCGGAGCAGCAGACACACAAGCAGCTGAGGGCTTTGGCAAACAAACCGGCCGACAGCCAGGCAACTGAGAAACGAAACCTGATTGGAGACCTGCACAAAGGCGGCCCTATTCCTACCACGGTGGCGGAGTTTTTGGAAGCTTGTCGACGCAAGAATAGGTGGATCTGTGGTCTCGGTATTGAGGCCGCGGCCAAGGTTTGCAATGTCGATATTCTGGTTTGGGAGCAGCGCGAGGATGGCACATGGGAGATCGTTTTACAAGTTCGAGCGGTGGAAGGTCAACGTCGAGACATACTTCCATTGGTTTGGGTCAACGACAGGTCGCACTTTGTCACTATGGTTCGGCCTAAGGATGGATGGCCAAAACACTGGCACAACGATGCGGAGGCTCAGCGCAAGATCAGTATTCGAGCCGGCGGAGGCGACGACGAGGACTTTCTCAAGCGTGCGGACACGAACAGCGAAAGCAGTTTTATCAAGCCAGCGCAATCGACTTTGACGAGAAGCCGTGGCGGATCAGTACAGCTCAAGCGTAAGCAATCAACTTCTTCGACTTCGTTTCTGCAAAGGGCGCAGACGAAACGCAGCAATATAGCAACGTCGTTGAGGAGGGTGGCCAGTTTGTTTTCCGAGAACTCGCCCCCGAGGAAACCCAAGCAGCACAGGTTTGGAGAGGAGGACACAGTCACGACAACTACTGCGAAGATCGGCAAGAAGTTGCGGATCAATCAGGCGGAACCTGGAACAGAGCGATCGTGGTATTGCAAAATATGCAAACAGACGTTGACTATCCGGATGGGCAAGGGACCCAACGCAGTCAGGAGACTCAGCGATCTGAGGTCGAGACACTTAATGAAACATGGCGGTGTGCATTTGGGCGCGGACAACAAGATACGGCAACAGCAACTATTGTGCACTCCGAGTCTTGCAGTACCCATGGAGCATAGGTCGTGGACGTGCTCTATCTGCAACAAAGGCCTTCCGACTATGGATTGCCCTAGCCAGCTTCGGGCTTCAGTGGACAAGCATTTCGCCGACGAGCACCCCGGCGTCAATCGATCACAGGAGTACAAGAGGAAACAACGGGAACACGAGCCTACACGCAACGCTATGAGCAAACGTGGCCAACACGTGGCAGAAGTTATGAGGGAGAAACGTCGCGAGCTTATTACGCAGGTGAACGACGAGACGGACCACTTTGTGCAGCCTATGACTATGTTGGTGAATCCCCGCGAGCACCGTCGAGGACAACGAGAAACGGAATTCTCGGTGTGCAAAATGTGCCTCAAGGTCATGATACCGGCGAGGTTTATGGACACCGAGTGCAAGAAGGATAAGCAATTTCCCGGATCTACCTGGACGAATTTCAAAAAAGTGGGCTATTCCTTTGGCACGACACAGAGCGAAGAACTTGAGAAAAATTTTGGACTGGTGCATTTTGAGCGACACGGAGAAGGCAGAGGCCGAGCAACGGGCACCTCCAGCACGCAGACTGTCTCGGAAGATCACTTTCTACAAGGTCGGAGAGGGCAACGAGTGACTGTGGGCGCAAATTCTGCGTTATGGTTATTCGCCACTTTGCCGGTTTCCGTATAGGGGAAGCATCGAACCCGGGGCCCCGTTTCTATCAATGTGGGTGGCAGTGCAGGAGGGTGGCGTGTTATCAATGAACTGAAGCAGGGTGGCATCAATGCGGATGTGGTGTTTTTACAGGAGGCCGCCTTTTCTGACACGGAGTTTCGCTCTATTTGCAACGTGGCGAGAGCAGCGGGTTATATTACCTGGTACGTACCTGGCTATGAATTTTTTG